AAATTTGTCTTAATATATTATTAAATAGTGTCGAAAAATGCATCGAAACGCAAAAGTGACATCAGCAATTTGAAAGGTGTACTCACCATGAAGACAAAAGCCCAACAAACAAATTAAGCGCGCCCTGTACCGCGAAAAACAAAGGTGACCGGAAAACGAATAAACCAGCTTTTCTATATCGACAATCTTTTCCGGCGTAAATGAACATAAAATTATTAAGGTATTCTAAGAAACAGCTAAAGAAATGGTGACTCTAAACTATAGCAGCCCAAAACGAACCTACCTCTAGCAACCAATCAGATTCGTAGGAAGTAGAAGTGCGCAGTTTGAAAGGAAAGTCTATGTGCAATATGATAATGTAATAAATGGTAACATAGGACAATATTCTTATATATGTTCAAAGAAAACCTCCCAGTTTCTCACAGAAAATCTCATAGTCAGGTTAAACCAACTTCAGTAAATAAATATGTCAAGGTCATCAATTCGTTTATTAGGCAGTTTCGTATTTAGCTGCTTTAGTTTAGAGTCACTAAGAAAGGTTTCATCTGAAAACAGAGCTTATGTCTCAACTCCTTACGTCTCCCGCATGCAAATAGTCGGTTCCAATTTGAAATTTCTTTATGGAAAAGCAATATAAAAATATGTAATCATTTTGGTGGATTCGCGAGATTAGGAATCATCAGAAGCACTTTAAGAATAAAAATCTAACTAATTACTATCGTGGTTTTTATTAATGATCCGATATACAAAAAAATATATTTCAAACTCGCATGAACCTATTCGCTAATATGATCTCTGTTTCTTAATGGTGTTCAAATGTTCTCGATCTGGTACCACACACCCATCCTTCATCTTGATATTATTCTGGTGAATGCGGTTGGCGAAGTGAGTGGGGGTTTACTTTGAGATGACGTGATTTGTCACATGAAAGTTGATTCTAGGATTGATTGTGGTTGCTTCACTGATTATACTTCTACGCGACTCAAAACCAAGATGGAGATCTAAGTTTATGATTATGGTGCAGAAGAGGAAAGAAAGGAAGTGAGCAGAAGAACTGATGATGAAATAATGTGATGAGAGCTAGTTGCAAGCCAAAAATTGTAGGCAGTGATTTACGCGACGTTTTCATTCCTGGTTGTACCTGAGTTGCACCGAACAACCTTACTTTTTGCGAAAAGTAGATGCAGTGATTAACGTGACGGTTGTCGTCACGAAGTATGGGTGTTCAAGTATGCACGAGAATAGTAAAGTAGCTGGGATTACAGCGTCGAAAGTCCTAAGTGTAGCAACGTTACTTACCAAATACGACCATCTTTTCACTGGAGATATAGATTCGTACGATTACTGTGATAAAGTGAGGCACGAAATTCCAGTAACAAGCAGGAAAGTCAGACCATTCATAACTCGAATAATTCCATGTCATTTTGAAAGCGAGGTTGCAAGATAGGTTGAAGAGATGTTAAAGGATGACATTATTAAAGAAGCCGATAGTCAATGTAGTATTCCAATGCTATTAGTGAAGAAAAGCAACGGGAAATACAGATTCTGTGTTGATTTCCGACAATTGAACAGCATAACAGAGCTGAGACCGTTGGTGATGCCAACTAAAGCAGAAACTTTAGATCACTTACAAAGTGCGAAGCGGTTCGCGGTCTTAGATCTGCGATCGGGGTACCGGCGACTGCCAGTGATGATTCTGGGGAATCATCCAATGCTACAAGAGTAATGACTGCACTACTAGTATTCTCCTAAACTAGATCGCCCCTTCTGTGTGCATGTGTGTGCGTGTGTTGCGTGATGCTCAACTTGACCATTCTTGAAGTGACTAGTTGAAAAAGCGATTGATACCCTACTGGTTAGGGAATTTTATAAGGAATATAATTCAAGGAGAAGGGTATTCGGCCTCACTGGTGTTGCTGTTTACTGATGACCGAAATGTTTTGCAAATTTTTATGAAGGTTATCGCAGTTTTCCAGTGGCAGTACCTCAGGTGAATTTGATTGTGTGAGAAAGTTCCAGAATTATTTTGGGTAAAAGGTTGAATGAATGCAATAACAAAGTGTAATAAACAGGTAGATAGAATGAAATTTTCCCTTCGACGAAGTCATCAACTATGCTGTACACTCGTGTATTTACAGTAAATGTGCAAGAAAGCTCCAGAATTTGACTGTTTATTTTATAGTGGCTGGTCATCGGTAGATGAGGGTATTCATATTCGAAGTCGACCATCATACTGTTTTTTTATTCCTTCACGTTCCCCAGTGGAACATAGGGCTTCAGGTTAGAGGCTTGAAGTTTCTTTAGCAGTGTTTATTTTTACAGGATGGGGTTGCTAGCCTCATGCCCAACCTTTCCTCTTCACCAGCATTATTTCTGGGTTAGCGAGGTAAAGGAGTGCGCCAGCCGGGGATCGAACCCCCAACGTGTGCATGGTCGGCGAGCGTCCTAACCACTATGCCACCAACGCACTGAACATTATCAGGGCGAGGCGTATGCAAATAACACACAGCCTTCTTCAAACCTTGCAAACAACCATTAGGTCGCGTTCTATTCCATCGCCCTTGGCAGATCTGGCAACAAAAGTCACGAGAACACCATCAGAGCACATGACAGGTTAGGTACCCCATCATATTGTGGCTGACGTTTTTCCGGACATACAATAAAGAACTTCAGATGTAAGTAATATATGAGCATTGGTTTGATTTGGATTTTCGACTGAAACACTGGTGAATCATCGACTACAAACGGCCATAAGAACGTCATCAACAATCATTCAAACCCATAATTTTTGCCACAAATGATGTCCAGGAAACTGGCAGCCAAAAATCGGAATGAAGATGCATCGCATGCAGCACTGGCTATGGCTCTCCACACGGTTATAGCTAAAGGGTGTTGCTGCAGCCTGCATTTGTAGGCTAACTCGTTCGCCACATCTAACTTTGCTTACGAGACCTCGACTCATAGCAGCGGAATTCACGTACCTCAATATTCTGAGTGATGCGGCAAAATTACGGTAAATATTTAGTGACAGTCTTAGTATCAGCATCCAGTGCTACGATAGCAAACTACGAGCTTCGTGGTGAGAGATGAGGAGAGCGGGGCTACAAACATAGCAAGTATGGCTGTAGAGCAACCGGAAGTTGTCTGTCACGATGAACAGACACTTTTCCTTCAAAACGGGCCAAGTATTGTTCCGTTTGAACTCGCCGACCTGTGAAACGTTATTTCAAAATGGACCCAATATCACTAACAACCACCCAGCAAAAACCCATGTTGTTAGGAAAGCCAACAAATCTCTTTATGGCAATATCGAACGCTATGTCAGACATCAGATAGCGGTACTTAGGTCTCTCACTGTTAGTCATCATTCTAACCGAGGGCTGGTTATCACTTTTCATTGCAAACAGTACAATAGTGGCGAATGACATTGAATAGAAAAGACAGAGGAGAGAAGGACGGTGTAGGAATTACAGTAGACATGAGTATTGGGTTCCGGTCAGTTGTAGCCGATTATGAAACATTGGACGAAATCGCTCAGTGAGTCTACTCTTGCATGACTGCGATTAATACTAAATTCCTGGTTGTAGGTGTCATTCAGCCCAATACAGAGAGGGTACAATGAGTTCCACTCACTGGTGGTGAATGGTATACCGGAGTGAGTAATGTGTGTTTCCGAAAGAGCTGTCCACAAATTCGCTCTTACGATAACTTCATCCGGTCAGAAAGACCCCACTGACCGAAAACGAGTATGAAACATCTTTGGATCAAAAAGATTATAATACGAATGTGGACTGCCGAGGGATGTGTGAGACTACACACTACATACATAATTAGTGTAAATTAGACTTTCATTACTCTGGCAGGACATAATTTCATACCATATAGGCTCATCTGGTTTTCTGGAAACCAACTTTTCTATCTTGAAATTGTCCAAATCACCAACCGGCAACTCGTAATGTTTCAGGAGACTAATGGTGCTTATGAACCTTTATTTTCGCAACCATAGCATAGGACAAGCGAAGCAGAGGATACCTAGTCAAACAAGTGGAGGGGCATTCATCACTCAATAGATAAAAAAGGCCTTACAAATCATGGGAAAGATATGATTCCTATGAGGTTACTCTATCCCTCTGAACCACTCAGTTACCTACTACATCTGAGTGACTCTACACTGTAATAAACAGCGACAGAGGAAAATGGACACAAGCGTCAATTACAACCGAAGTCACTGAAGACTTCTGCCTCTTGCTTGAGAAACTGGAGGCACACTTAGGTGTGTAAACAGCCGTGCCAAAAATACACACGAGTATCTTAAGAAATCGATGGAGTTACTGGACTTCCACTATTAAGAAGAGATGTCGATCTCTTAGGTAACACGGAAAGGATGTCATCTTCAACAATCATTGGGGTAAAATGCCGGGTGTGCGTCTGTGGACTCAGAAAAGTTTATGCCTGTACTTTCAGATTTCTCGGAACTGGGGCATGCGAAATGGTGCACAACACAATTCACCCTGAGACATATATTGGGAAGAGTAGTGAGCTACTCCCCGTGATAACACAATTTCTGGAACTTATTGCTGACTAACGTAGCCATAGCTCTGTCAGCTAACAGCTGCTTTAGAGTCTGACGGTATTGACGTTCACGGAAACTACGAAGTATACTAAAGCAAGATCTAATACCCCCAACTTCTATAGTATTCGTTCCGCGTAGACCAAAGGCAAAGCAAAAGACGATATTTGTTATTTTTAATCCTGTGGAGCATTATTTGGCGGAAAAATATCAAGGGTTCAAAAGAGCTTGGTACGAACCATACATTCTCTCCAGAATAAACCAAAATACCTAATTTTATTTCGCTTAGAAGAGCTGCTGAAGTTTAAAGAGTAGATTCTGTGTACTGGGGCTGAAGAAATCAGGGCAATTAAAAGATAACAAGCAATACTAATATCAGTAGGTTTAGTCAAGCTCGCTACTCGGATATTGGATATTGAAATGAAACCTAGCTGTATAGTGGCGGGAGCGGATTTACGATTGGATTTTCTGTCTAACTGAGAATGAGTGGTAAGTTGCTGTGTTTTTGCATGTGATGTTTTTTCAGATGAAGTTGGGGCCTTGGTTTTCGACTTTGGATCGTATTCTCTCAGGGGTGGTTTTGCTGGGGAGGACAACCCAAAGGTTTTTTTTACCATAAATTAATATTAGTTAAGGTTGACATTCCAGCGACACTTTGCATTATTGGGAATGAAGAAGGTCTGCCACCTAAGAGGATTGTTGGCCATAATATTTTAGTCCCACGCAAAGGAGCAGAACTTCAGTCATTTTTGAAAGATGGATTAAGTAATGCTAATGTTGAAATTATTTTTGTATAGTTGATGACTGGGATGCTTTTGAGGATGTCATGAGCTATATGTTACACTATTTAACACCCGAAGAAGCTAGTCATCACCCTATACTCTTTTCGGAGCCTTCGTGGAATACAAAATCAAAACGAGAAAAAATCGCCGAGATTTTGTTTGAAAAGTTCAAAGTGTGTCTACTTTTATTTCGTATTTCTTACTACTCAGGTCCCAGCATTTTACATTGCCAAGAATGCTGCTCTTACTTGCTTTGCTAATGGCAGGCATACAGGATTGGTTTTAGATTGTGGTGCTATTCATACATCAGCTGTTCCAGTATACGATGGTTTAGTACTAACTCAAGAAGTTGTGCGTTCACCACTTGCTGGTGATTTTGTAGTACAACAAGCACAGAGGTTACTTCTGGACGAACTTAAGATGGAAATCGTTCCGTATTATCGGGTGGCATCCAAGGTATGTTCTAATTATGTATGTTGATGCTCATGTAGTACGGAGCAGTTGTTTAAAGTAAATAAGATACTTAAATACCTAGAAGGCATATTTTAAACTCATAAATTTCCTATAAGTAAGATTTACTTTTCCAAGTTCGGTGACTCGACATGAGGTTCATATATACACTGTTCTATGCTGGCTTTCCAGACAGCCGCCAGTCTCATAAAGTGGCTATCGTTTTGATTTTGATTTAATTTTTAGTGTATGGGACTAGGATTCATTCTAAGAATTAAATCACTGACTTCAAATAAAGTATTCCTATAAGGGAACCACAGTACAGTGCATGAAATTGCTCTGAGTGACCTGTATATCTGGTTCAAGTCCTAGTCTGGTAAACACACCAGTTACCTCTATCGACACTAACATTCAAACTATGCTGTTCAATTTTTCCAAATTGATTACCCAACATTTATTTAACCCAATCTCCTTTCAGATAGCATTTCTAACAGGAAAAGCCAGTGGTTCGATGGTACTTGCGTAATATTATCGATAGTCATGTCAACTAAAAACCTTTTTTTACCCAAGGGTGTATAACTACAACGTCTGTTGTTGTCACAGTGAAACAAAACACCCATTGTGATTTTGAGTTTCGTAGAGAAAGTCCCTAAATAGGATTTAACAACTATCCAATGCTTCCTGGTTTTCACTGATTATTTGGTGTTGATTCCTGATGGCATCTTCACTAGAAACCAGTTCGACAAATTATAAGCCTTTCATATCTTTCAGTGGCTCTTTCACAACCACTATGAGCACAAATGCCTTATAGGCACACTCTACGATAAGTAGTCAAGTATGTCACCATCCCAAAAGAGTATTTAATCCAATGTAATTCAAAGATTGTGTAGCTATACAAAAATGCAACATGTACCTCTGATTACAAGCCATCAAACGTAAAATTGACTGTAGTATGTATTTTTGCAGTCTCTTACATATTCACGTAGAATCTAACTTGTCATTTATCATTAAATATCCAAAAACAGGAAGTCAAAATAACAAAATATCTCAAGGTTTCGAAGTTTTAATTATAAAGGAAACAATAATACTATTGTTTTGGCCAATGATGCGCGTCAACTAATGGTTTTGTATGCTTGGCCGTAGATCAGACTAGATGAGCAAAGAGTAATGATAATGTTCAGTTACCCAGGTTGATTTAAGTGAATTAGGGATTGTACCCTAGACCTGTTAATTTTCAGTCATGTTTGATTCACTTAATGTGAGTCAATGCACCACAGCTAGACAACAATAAGAGAAAGTGGTTTATGTAAAACCAGTGGGTTTACCTTATCTGCAGTACTCTGTTGATAAGTAGTCATAGGTATAGTGATTTTCAGTTGTTTTCCATCCAATTTATTTTGTAGAAGGTCCATATCGTGTTTCATGAGATTTTAATCTAAATTTAGTGTGATAACATGTAGGCAGTTTGATATATTATTCATCTCTGTTTCGGTGTTTAGTGCTAAAATCCTAGACGGTAGAATTTCAACTTTTCTAGGAAAATTTGAGCCGTTTTTGGTCCACTTAATTATGCAACCTCCCAGCTATCCGTTTATTTGTCGTTGAATCAGGCTTTTGATACACAAATATATTACGTTTAGTTTGGCCGTACCAAAGTGACTTCATAACTTTGTGACTTTCTTTATTCTCGCGCCCTCTGTCTCTGATGCTGAACAATGTTATAAGTTAAACCAACCAACGACTCCTCAGGGATGTGTAGTTCAGTGACTTTCTCACTCATCTGTAACCTTATGGTTTCCGGCTGTTGTTTCTGCCCGACCTGTTTCGAACTGAGCAATCTGATAATATCATATGACGTCACAATGTATGGATTACAGCTTGACTTAATAACTGTACCTACTAATTTTTCCATCTAACTACTGTAGAATGATTTGTTACTACAAAGCTCCTGTAATGGTGAGCAAGGTAACTCCTCACATCAAATAAGATACATATCTGCTTATAAACAGGACTTTGTGCACTGTCTATGCTCTCTTTTGCACTGTATCGGTCAAATAATTAGGTCGTTATATTATGAGCATTAAAATATGCTAACCATCAGTATGCAGGTATAAAGACACAGCAAGTTGGCTAGCTGATGATGTATTCAGCCTTTACTGCCTGACTATGCCCACCTGTATCTTGTATATTTCTGAATATATTCATATAAGTTTTAAAATTTTGGTAGACTTAAAGAATTTATACTGGGTGTTACTCACCAATATCGAACTCGAAAACCGATGCTATTTAGCATTGTAAATAATTATCAGTGGGACTTAGGGTCGGCGGCACAGCGATTAGGACGCTCGCCGACCATGCACATGGTCCGGAGTTCGATCCCCGGCCGACGCACTCCTTTACCTCACTAAGCCAGCAATAGAACTGGCATAGAGGGAAGGTTGAGCTTGAGGCTAGTAACCCCATCCTGTAAAAATAAACACTGCTACAGAAACTTCAAGCCTCTAGCCTGAAGTCCTATTTTCTACTGGGAACGTGAAGGAATAAAAAAATCAATGAGATTTGGGGACCGTCGATTGACATCACACGCCAGGCCATCGCTCGAGTGGAACCCAAATAGGAAACTACGTGACGGGCGTCCGAGAGTAACGTGGAGGAGATTGTGACAAAAGGAGGTCAGAGATTATAGGCAATCTTGGAGCCAGCTGAAGAGGGCCGTAGAAAAAAACACTAAGCGAAGACGTTCTATTGAAGCCCTTTTTTCCACTTAGAACCCAAGGGAACGATAATAAATCATCAATAAGACTGAAAGATGTCCCATATTTTTCTATACCTTGTTTTCTTGTATTGATTCATCTCTTATTTAGTTTGTTTCGTGTCATTTGTTTTCAGTGTCTAAGTGTCAAACAGCTTAAATTGTCAAATTTTGTTTAATAATTTTATACGTTGCTGTTCATGAGTATTTTTATAGAGTTATAGTAGGCAATTTCGCACATATTTGAGACTAAGCTTTCAAATTGTGCTATCATTATGCTTGAACTTCTACACAATATTATCACTTTCTACTGTATCTATGATTCCAAACTTAGTGTACTAGAACTCATACAATTACTCTTTTTTCTATATTACTGATAATCGTTTTTGTTGTTATTATCACTGTACAAAAGTAAAGCGTATCTTGGTTTCCTATTATCATTTTAGGAGCCTGTAAATGAGCGTGAACCAGCGAAATGGAAAGAGCGACCGAATCTACCACCTGTTTCTTCATCATACGAAAACTATATGTTAAAAGTAAGCATTTATAGCATTACTGAAGACACTATCAGTCATCCTTTATATTGTTGGTTTAATATAAAACTGGTACTTATCGTGCGTTAAAAGTGGATAGTTCTGAATTATGTGTATTGATGGATGACAGTCTTACATGCATAACATGAGAATGTATCTATTGGGTAAATTAATTGAACTAGACTTGCCATTAGTTCGTCATGTGTAGCCGTGGTTCATTGCTTTTGACTTCTGATTTTCATTCAATGCAGCATGAGTTCTAACTCCTCTCCGTTTGTCGGCGTTTCGATATCCTAGTGGAGTCATCAACAGTGAAGTAATAGGTATCTCTCACTGTTAAATTAATGTTTGGATAGCTGACTGTTTAATGACTTTTCTTGTTATATATTACGTAAAGTGTAATTTAAAGGAAACATCACATCACACGTTGTTGTATTCGCAGTTGTATTTTGATAATTATTGATACCATCAAGACCATTAGTTTCACACATCCAAGTTTGAATACTACTCAACACACTGTGTTTTGGTAGTCTTGCAACGTTCAATCATTGATATTCCTTAAGTTACCGGGGATATATTTTCCATGTTCCATGATATGAGGTACATGTGGTACTACTTAGTTGCGCGGACTGAAGTAAGTGGAGCGGGACTGAATACCCCTACCCATTCACTGAAAGTCAAGTGCTTAAAAGCCAATGAGCTATATCGCTGCAATGTAACGTAATCAATTCATAAACAATATTTGTTGTTCACAGTTTATTAGACGAATCTATACGTGTTTGTTAATTTGGATTATTATGTATTGTTTTAGTGGTCACAATGTGTTTTATCATGGAGAGTTTTGTTGTATATCACACTGACCCCCATACAAAAGTGGCTTGTTCCTTTCAGAGCTATTCGATGAGCTCTCAAATTTTCATCTTTACATGTCCTTTACAATGCTACAGAGGTTACGTGCGATTTCATAATATTAGAATATCTGTAAACCATCAATGGAGCTGTGGCTTAATGTTTTAGGCGCTGGAATTCCTCTTAATCCTTGTGTCATTGGTTTGAATCCCACTCCCCCTATGGTGGCGGTTTGTGAAAGGTAGTATTGTAACGACAGAAGACAAGGGCCAGGCAACAGATCGTTTATTGAGAAAATCAAGAGGTATTTATAGATTTTTATGTACATTACTGTTAGCGTTGTTAGTAGAGAAGCAACGTCCTCCGATAGGCTGTTTTCTTGCCGAAGGTTATTCTGTTATCTCTTTGTGGCCGTTTCTCAGAAAGTTAAGCTATATATCTGTGAATCGTATTTTCACACGTTAAGTCTGCTGTGATTGGTTGTTGAGTTCCTCAAGGTTAAGCTTTGTTATTATTTTCCTCATGACCCTGATTCGGGACGTAACATTGACTTAGATTGCTGTCTACAATTTTTGGCTTGCAGCCAGCTCTCACCACAGTATCATGAACCTTCACATAATAGATGGCTAGTTCATTGTCAGCTGCCTAGGAATGTTGATGGGTGTTGAGTAGTAAAATTTCCCTTTTTATATAAGCCTTCTTACAGCTAATGTTCACAGATGACTAATAAAAAAAACTGAGGACTTATATAAAAGGTTACAAGGACATTGTTCTTTTTTTGTGCATTCTGATCATTATGACATTTAAAGTAATTTTTGTGACAAAATGACAAGTTTTGCAGCCAATAAAGATTGAGAGTCTAATTCATTTTATGTATATGTGCTCAAAACGTCATCAAGTAAATAATACTGCATCACTGGTTGTTTGTTTGTTTGACGATGGAATTACACTCTGTCATAGTGCGCATATTCTATTCTTATATCAGTTTTTAACATTGCATATGTATATTTTTTTTAAAATATTTTAGTGTCTCATGCAAGATTTTGTGGCATCAGTTTTACAAGTTTCTGAAGATCGATATGATCAGAGGTAAGTTGTCGTAACTCTAGGTCTTTCCTTTCATTCGTTGTTCGATTGTTTCTACCTCGAATTGTCTAATTCTAAGTTATAAGTTAACATTTATTTCTTTGTCTGATGTGAATTTCTTCTGTAGAGTTCAGGTTGAGGAAGTTAGATAATTAAGAACGCATAAGTTAGCTAAGAGATCACTTTTCGTAACTTCACTTCAAAGCTGTACAGTTATTTAGGGGTCTGTATATATATACGATGTTAATTGACAACAAATAATATTGTAGCGCAATCTTTCTGCGGACGACTCGATCTTCGTTTGTATACGACTCTGAATGAAGTCTCTGCTAATAGTTTGACTAGAAGTAATGTAATGCTCTAGAATGGAGCTGTTGTCTGTTCTACGTCCACCTGTCGACATATATAGTTATGCAAGTGCTTTGATTGGGCACGAGTAACTAGTGCGACGTGTCTAGTCCTTCCTTTGGTGCAGACTGAATTCTATCAGTCAGGTTTGCAATGTGGCCACCATTCTAGGTAGCTCGCCATCACGGTGCATATTGATTTGATGATATTCGATAGTTGGAGGCAATCGGCAGGAAGCCTTGGACCTAGGTTTCGTGCTAGTTGGCACTCACCAGTCAGCAAGGCGTATCTGCAACCTTGAAGGAACTTATGTTCTTCCTGAGGTTGGAACCCACGTCACCCAGTGCTGCCTGCAGTCAGAGACCTTGCCACTGAGCTATTCGGGCTGGCTCGCGATTGACCTCCTGTAGGACTATAGTGGGTATTTTGAAGGGACATGAATTCCTTCAAGGTTGCAGATACGTCTTGCTGACGAGTGCTAACTAGCACGAAACCTAGGTCAGGCAAGGCTTCCTGCCGATTGCTTCCAACTATGGAATATGCAAGTGCTTGTCAGCTGAGTTGCTTGAAGTGCTTGTTCTCTGATAGTTCCATCGTTATAGATAATTCATCTACTGGTCTGGTATGGTTAATATGAAATAGGATTGATCACGAGCTGACATCAGTTATAGCACCATTGGAAAACCTGGAGTTACTGGACAGCTGTTTCGTCCTATTTTGGGGATTTTCAGCAATATGCACTCACCGGGGTTCGAACTCAGGACCTTATGGCTAGGAGGAAAACTCGCAAACCATCAAGGCACTGGGACGCGATCCAATGGTCCGTGAATTCCAAATTCTGCCAATTAGAGCAGCTGCCAGTCAGTGTCACAGGCGAGTAACTGTCCTCTTATCTGACTTCTTGACTTGGTTACGACTTCTCACAAGAACATCAGGTAACTTCTCATGTAGGGCCGGTCGTTAGTGAGCATCAGATTAATTATCCGGTGTTGGATCAATCCTGTAACCAATCAAATTCTTGCTAATCAACACTTCATAATATACAAATATAATATAAATTTTTCTTTATTACGGTTTCACGATTAGGTTAGTGTCAATACAATGGAAGTATTTGTTTATGACCAATATACAGAATAGACAGATTGGATTAGTCATTTATCATAGAATATGTAAGCAGTGAAGTTTGCTGGCGAATGAGGACGTACACTTCTCATGATTTCTGTATGTTACAACAGTACATTTAATAGTTAAGATCAATTGCATCTGAAAGACCCCCTCCCCCTCATATCAGCTAGGCAAACATAAAACTAAACCGGAAAAGAAAACTGCTAAAGTGTCTTTGTTTGTCAGAATGTGATAGTCAAAATAAACGACCGGCTTTGGATAATCTTAAGTTAACCAAAAGTATTAGTGTTTGTATCCTGATATATTCAGTAATGAATATGTAATGATCATAGATGTCTACGATCTCTTTCTCACGTTAGGTGGCATAATAAGGTAAGTAATGTCGACGTTAGGCGTAGAGTGCTGGGCAAGGAGGGAAAATCAATCGAAGAGGCTATAAAGTTACATAGATTGAGATGGCTAGGTCACGTGCTGCGCCTGCCTAACCATCGCCTCCCCCGACGGGCATTACTAGCTGATATAGGTGCAGCTTGGAAAAGAGTAAGTGGTGGCCAAACAAAAACATGGCTTCATCAATCCATGAAATCCCTGACAGTTAAACTGAGTCAGGTAGGGAGGGAGATGCAGACTTCCGGGTTGGGGCCCTCGGGACTCTAAGAATCAATGGCTGGAGACAATAGGTGAGATGGCTCAAAATCGTTGTCAATGGCGCAGATGTATTCAGTCTCTGTAATATTCAGTCTCATATTCCTTTCTACCATTACTCATTCTGTTTCACTCTTATACCTGTCAAAACTCTATTGATTCTCTTCACTCATCTTCTTGTCTACCTTTGTGTGCTATTTGGACCGTGGCAACTCGAACTGTTGCACTTCGGTGCCAAGTTCTATGTTGAATCCAGACAGACAGACATATGTAATGCGACTGTCGAAAACTATATCGAAGGAATATATTTATGGAAATTTGATATACCTATTTCTACATGGCATTTTTAACCAATTGTATCTGGAGATTGCTTACAGTTGAGTTTGTTGTTTGTCCTTCTGGACAACATATTCAGCGCAAGTTTTAGCATAAAATGAACTGATTTGAATTCTCCATAAATGATAGAATTGTATCTCCTGGAAACCATCTTCGTGACTGGTAGTCGATTTACATCTGTATTGATCATCTTTTTATTGACTTGGAATTTGAACTTTCTTGTCACATGTGATTTACTTTTTATTAGCTGGTAAATTTGGTCTACATTAACATGTTTGTTAACCGCTGATTCACTTGAGTACCAGGCTTCTAGGAATTCTCTGGCACTTTTGATGTATCTTCTAGGTAAAATTTCGACATTATCCCGATCAAATTGGTGTCCATAGTTATCTGCATGCATTGATATGAAGGAATATAATTCATGTCTTTTTACAGCTAAAAATCGAGTCACAACACCAACAAGAAACCATCATCAAAGACTACAAGAAAATGCATCCTACCATACACAAAAAATATCTTTGAAATAACAGCTGGAATATTAAAACCGTTTGAAATAGTTATAGCACACAAGCCAGCCAGTCCAATCACTTCATTTGATATTGTACAAACCAAAAGATCCAACGGAAAAAGAAGATAAAATTAATGCCATTTACAAAATAAATTGTATGACCTGTAACAGACATTACATCGGTCAAAGTGGGCGTCCCCTTCGAATCAGAATCCAAGAACACAAATTAGCTGTAAAAAGACATGAATTATATTCTTTCATATCAATGCATGTAGATAATTATGGACACCAATTTGATCGGGATAATGTCGAAATTTTAACTAGAAGATACATCAAAAGTGCCAGAGAATTCCTAGAAGCCTGGTACTCAAGTGAATCAGCGATTAACAAACATGTTAATATAGACCAAATTTACCAGCTAATAAAAAGTAAATCACATGTGACAAGAAAGTTCAAATTCCAAGTCAATAAAAAGATGATCAATACAGATGTGAATCGACTACCAGTCACGAAGATGGTTTCCAGGAGATACAATTCTATCATTTATGGAGCATTCAAATCAGTTCATTTTATGCTAAAACTTGCGCTGAATATGTTGTCCAGAAAAAGCTTTGCAATTAAACCAACCGGGTCAGAGAACGCAACTAATTCAAAATCATCTACCTAAGCTACATATCTTCTGTATTATTTCAGTGCTTATATGTGTCAGTTAAGAGAAATGAGTCTCGTGTACACGTCAGTATTTGTTTAACTGTATCCAGTAATTGCATTGACTTTTATTTAACCGGTATATGACAGACTCTGCTTTATTGTGTATTAGATTTTCAGTTTGTCTTGATAGCAGTACATATCTTCAAGTATTGAGACATCTTTGAACGATGTATGCCGTACGTTGTTAACTGACACAGGATTGAATTGAAAAAGAGTTAGGGAGTAATCAAACTGAAATATTAAATCAATCCTTGAAGTCTTTGACAGTTGTTTTGAGCCATGTGGTGGGGGGGAGTGTGTAAACTGCCTGCTTGTTGTACTCGAGTTGCTAAAATCCAATGACTAGAGACTATTGGTGATGTGATTAAAAATCGTACACAAGGGTGCAGATCCATTAAATTCTTATTATTCTCAACGAAATTATTCTTTCCATATTAGTTTGTTTATTAGATGTATCACACAATGAGTGAAACAGTATTATTTACTGGATGACACGGTTTCGAACAAAATTTATTGTTCATAATCATATCAATTGTGATCACACGACTTTGACACTTGAGTTTTATAGTTTTCTTTGTTCTCTCCTATTTGTCGTATGGGTAGTAGAATTTTCCAGATATCGGGGACAGGTGATGAATCATTCCTATTACATGTATTTGTAGTTGATTCGATAAACAAAGCTTCTGTTATCAATCTCTACCTATACCCTGTGTTATTAGATTTTAAAACTGTCATCCTATCCCATCCTATTGTATGGTTGTGTGTAAGTGCATGTGGTGATTTCTTATCTTATTTGGATCAACCGATCTAGATTTTGCTAGGTTTTTATGCTGGGCTAGTCTGACTGCCCCTGTTCTACTACTCTGACCTGTGTATTTGACCTGGCAATCATTGAAGCAGGGTATTAGATAAACTAAATTGTTTTGTTTTAAAGGTTCCACAGGATCCTTTAACTAACAAAGCTTACTTCTAATTGAGTTTGTGGGTTTGAATGCCACTTTATTCTTGCCTGCATTGTTAAGAATTCTGCGTAAGGTTTCCGAGGTTCTTTCCTTGTATGGAATTACTACTGATGATTTAGATTACTTATTGTTTGTGTTGCCTTGCGCATATTTGACGTGCATGTCGTCATTAATATTATTATTATCATCACTATCACTACTATCATTATTTATTTTAATTTCGCATTTTCCTACATACTTTCTGACTATTTTATCAGGGTAATCATTAAGTTCCAAAGCTTCTCTTATATACCTCACTTCCTGTCTTAGATTTTCTTTGGTACTACTTAGTTTTTGTGCTCTGCTATTTAAACATTTCACCAATCCTATTTCACTGACATAGGCTGGGATGATCGGAAAACTATAAAACTCAAGTTTCGAAGTTGTGTGATTATGATTGATAATATGATTATGAACAATAAATTTTGTTCGAAACTTCGTCATCCAGTAAATAATACTGTTTCACTATGTGTGATACATCTAATAAACAAACTAATATGAAATTACTTACTACCACAGTGCCCAAGTTTTACATTTATATGAAATTATTCTTTCTTCCCTGCATTTCTGTTTTTCTCTACCTTTGTATGGTAGTATACGGAGTGTGGCAACTTGAACTGATGCACTTCTGTGATGAGTTCTACATTGAAAATTTATATCATTTTCAATTCTTCTGAAGCGATCAATAAATTGTGAGGAATAATCCCTAGAAATACTGTCATGAACTTTCTAAAATTTGTATCCTGCAATATTGTATATATATATATATATATATATTTGACAGGATTGTGAAGCTCAAACCTCCTAGTGACTGTAAGAGAGTTATGCGTTGATTTCTGAAACCAGTAGTTGTTGCCTTTTCTCTAGGGAATCCCTTCACTCAGTAAACTTGGGGCGTACATTACTGTCTTTTTCAGTTGTTGTTCAAGTGACAACAACTCAGAACACGCCTTAAAACCTCGTAATCCAACAGTCTCAAAATAATAGTTTCAACTAGTTATTGTGTACAGTTTTCAATCTCTAAATACTGCTCGGATGGAAGTCTAATTACTTTTGATGTTATATGTGTATAATATTTTCAAATAAAATGTAATACCTGTTATTCTCATGTTTAGTTGCTTCGATAATGAGATAGCTGAGATTTTGCTTTGCAGAATTTGATAAAATAGTCCAGATTTGAGATACTACCTTGCGTCGGTGGCATAGCGGTTAGGACGCATGCACATGGTCCGGGGTTCGATCCCCGGCTGACACACTCCTTTACCTCGCTAAGCCAGAAATAATGTTGGTGAAGAGGAAAGGTTAGGCATGAGTCTAGCAACCCCACCCTGTAAAATAAACACTGCTACAGAAACTTCAAGCCACTAGCTTGAAGCCCTATGTTCCACTGGGCACGTGACGGAAAAAAAGTCACCGGTAAGGAACATCTTGGAAAAAGTGAGAAAAGGTAAACTCAAATTGGGTTGACCATCAAATAGACATAGAGTAATAATACTTTCATGCTTTATAAGGAAGTTTTGTCTAATTCTCTGTTGTTAAGTTTTAATAATTGCCCTGAAAACATTTACGATGATATCCCCATATCAGTTCATCTACGTCAGAGAGGGATGAGTCATGAGATATACAATTAGTTCAAAATGAATTAGTTATTAAAATGTATAAGTCATATACAAAAGTGGTATGTAAACGACTGATCTTCTAAAAGGACGATATACTGTTGTTATTATTATTATTGCTGTTCATTCCTCGGGTTCCAGGTGGAATATAGGCCTTTATCAGCAAGTCTCGATTTCACTCAGTTCTCTGCCAGCACTTTCAACTTGTTGTACAACTGCCCATGTGTTTTCATTTCCTTATTACATGATTTGTACTGTGTCATTTTCAGAAGCTGAATTTGTTGTTCGCTTCCTATCCGGGTTCTACTCGAGGGTCTAACATATGACGTCGTCAATCAACGGTCTCTTTAATCCATATCGATTTTCTTCTGAGTATTTGTTGAGCAATAGGTTGTCGGTTAGCTCATTATTTATCCTTATATATATATATATATATATATAACCTTCTTATTTCTTGCTTTTATAATCCATATTATTTTCTTACTTTTTTTTTCTTTTAAAACAATATTTAGTCAAGCAGACACTTTTCCAATGGTTGGCTATGAATTTCCGAATGGATTCAATTTTGAATTAGGTCATGAACGTTTTCAACTTCCTGAGGCTTTATTCGATCCATCCATACTATTAGTGAGTGTAGCAGCATTTTCTTGCTGTCGTTTTGTTCTTCTTATATATATAGTTTTGTGGGGTTTTATAAAAATAAAAGAGTCAAAACAGTTCTATGGTTTTTGATTTGGTTGTGTTCTCTGAGCTGTTTGATTTAATTGTGAGGTTTTCGTTCTCCTGCTAGACCAACATCTTCAGTGTAGGCTTTAATATAAAGTGAACCTGTGCTACAAATCTTCTCTACTATTTCAAAATTTTATGTTATGTGTTTTTCATGGATTGTAATATAAGGTGAGAACTATTGAATATTACAGATAACAAACTTCGATTGATGTTTAGGTTGTAGGTTTTCCTAGGGATTTGGATTACTGTCAATTTAGATTTTTTCAAATAGTGGAAAATACCCATCGGAACATTAGATTGAAAAGAACAAGAAGTTCAGCAAAGATGTTGATCTTTTCGGCGATTTCATTCTCAAAAGCAGCTGTACAATCGCATTTATATACATTAGTTTACATTGGATACAATTATTATTTATTTAATTCCACATAGTAACGAAGGTGATAATAATTTTCAACTTGATATGAAAGTTTGAAGGTGTGAATATAGATTACAAGAGGCATAGAAACAAAAAATTACACAGGATTAGAATATAATTGTAAAATAGTTATTCTAAGCGGATTACAAGTGTGATCAGGAGGAGCATGGAAACAAACTTAAAATAACTGATTTTATAACTGAAAAAAATGGGATAAATTGAATGAAGACAAAGAGAGAAAATTACACACACAGAGAACAAAACAAAAAAAAAACTGAAGGATAAGGGAACATACCGAACTAGGTCCACGGTAGTTGTAAAGGTTGGACTAGTTTCTTTTGAACACATAGCTCCGGCTTTTCGATGCATATGGCGAGAGCTTCCGCAGTACAAAGAAGTCAGAAACACACTGCCTTTGGTAGATTTTTGTTTACTTTGTAAATGACTCTAAATGATGTGTCAGTTGAGATTCTGTGACAGGTATTGACGAGGTGTTCAGTTATTGCGCTTCTGATTGAACCAGTGCCTCCTCTTTGTAGCCATGCTGGATGATGTTCTCTAACACGTTTTGATAAGACCCGCATAGAACGACCTATGTACCTAGCTCCGCAAGAGCAGGTGAACTGATATATGCACATTGAAGTGGTCATATGCGGAAGTCTGTCCTTCCCGTTGCTCCGAAGTAATGGGCGGCTAGTTCGTTGAAAATTTTGATTTTAATTTGTTTCCATGCTCATTTTGTTCACACCTGTAATTCGTTCTAAGCCTCTTGTAATTCATATCAAGTTGAAAATAATTATCACCTTTTATTCACCTTTAAAATTATTTCTCCAGTTATCAAATATTAATTTTGCATACGTTGTAACTGCTTTCTAATCCTATGCAATCTTGTCTCTAAGCCCTTTGTAATCTGTATTCGTACCTTCAAACTTTCATATCAAGTTGAAAATTATTATCACCTTCGTTACTATGTGGAATTAAACAAATAATAATTGTATCCATGTAAACTAATGTATATAAATGCGATTGTACAGCTGCTTTTGAGAATGAAATCGCCGAAAAGATCAACATCTTTGCTGAACTTCTTGTTCTTTTCAATTTAGATTTTGTTACGAACTCACATCAGTTAGAAAGGTCACTGAAAACCAGCCAGGAGGCAATCGAAAGCTGTTCTTTCCCACTTTGGAACTCTTCAGCGATGCCAGGGATCATACCCCTGAGGCCTCCTCGTTGACCATTCAATCACTTGGGATAGGATTCAATGACCTGTGAATTCTAAATTCTGTCAATTCATGATATAGCACTATCCTCGTAGATGCCTTTGATGAGCACCTACTTCACCTTGAACATAGTGGGACCCTCTGGTCACCACTTTGATTTGACTGTATCTCATAAATTCCATTGATTTGGGTGAATTGAGTGATAAACTACACTTGCCCTGTAATTTAATATAACTGGATTAAGACTATCCACGCGATCCTGATGGTTTATGTTATTGACGAGTTTCCAACTGCAACCAAATGACTGTCCATCTCTCCCTATACTTTCAACTGACTTCACTAGTCGATAGTCATTTCGTTATTATTTTTTTGTCGCATCCATGTATCAGTTAAAATCTGATAAATTTGGACATGGAATAATAAAATTGTCTGAATTTCTTTTTCTTATTATAGGAATCTGGCGGTAGTTCAATGTTGTCAATGAGTCATATTGTTGCCAGTAGTATTAGTCTATGTGACATTGATATTCGACCGGTGAGTTTTTGTCTGTTTAAAAGTATCTTATGTTTATTGATTACTATTCATGTATAATCCTTCATTCAGTCAACGATGTATATATATATGTCTTCAACAGAACATCTCCATTTTGTCCTCTTCTCAACAGTTCTCTTTAGCTGACCCCATGATTGCCCATTGACCCTTATTTCTTCCTCACACATCCTCTTCCACGTCACCCTCGGACACACCCAACTCGTCATCGCCCATTCCCGTTCTACCCAAGAGATGGCCTGGTGCGATATGTCACCCAACAGTCTCTTCAGTGTGTGTCCGATACACCTCCATTTTCTTCGGAATTTCGGCTCTTCGTTGGTTCGTTCCCACAATTTCTTCTTGCTAATTCTTCCTGGCTATCTGATCTTCAATATGGAGCCAACGAAGCCCGCTGTTGATAAAAGTTTGCAGTGGCCTGTTAGAATTGCTTTCTGTGAAGTGTGCACCAAGTTTCTGACCCATATAGAAGCACTGACTTACTTAATATTGGTGTTGAAAATCCGAATTTCGTTCTTTATGCTGACTGGGTGCATTAAATTTCCAAACTGATTTCAGACTGATGAAGGTATGCCTTGCCTTTCCGATCCTGCTCTTGTCATCCTCATCCGTACCATTAGCCTGTATCTGAAACGATGGTGCTTAGATAAGTGAAGGAAATGACCTCGTTGAGATTTCTGCTACTGATAGTGATTGGTGCTTGTTGATTGGTTGGTTATCTTCACCACTCCCGTCTTCTCTATGTTTACTTGAAGTCCTCCTGTCTTTGCTAATTCTTCTACCAATTTGTTGGTTTTCGCCTGTAAATCTTCGTCTGCGAAGTCCAGTTCTTCTTCTAGAGTCTTCTTATTGTTCCAGCGTATATTCTTGTCTTCTCGCTCCCCACACACACAATGTGCCGCATAATCCAATCCACCACAATTAGGAATATATCATCGGTGATAATAGACAGGCTTATCTTACTCCACTGAGTTTTTCATTGTGCATAACTTGGCATGTGGCATTGTCATATAGAACTGTTGAATCAGGTTGATAAAGATTTGGGGTACTCCATACTGTTGAAGTAGTTTCCAAACTACTTCGCGGGCAGTGGTGTCTAAGGCATTTTGAAAGTCGATGAAGCTTAGGTAGAGATTTTACCACCATATATATAGAAAACCATTGTTGATTTACATACAGTCAGTTTGAGCCATTTAGGGAGATGTAAGCTGACTGGCTTGGGTCTTCAGGATTCTAAGAACCAGTGGTTGGAAACTATTGGTGATGTGGTTCAAAATCGTTCTCAGTGGCGCAGATGCATTCATTCTTCGTAATTTTCCTTATCTACTGTAGCCATGTTACCACTTTCTCCTGTACATCTCTGCTCATTATTGTTCTTATGAATCTCTTGTGCTGCATGGAGTATAGCAAAGTGGACTGTTGCACTTATGTATAAAGTTTTATATTGAATCTAAGTCATTTAGTGCATTTACATATGTGCTGATTCGAACTCTAAACTTGTTTTTTTGTTTTTTTGTTTTACTTTTTAGAGTTTATATAGTAATGTTATTGTTGTCGGTGGAAATAGTTTGATCACTGGATTCACAGATCGTTTACAAAGAGATTTAAATATTAAAACACCACCAGTAAGTTATGCGCTTGACAGTTTTGTGTTACGGTAATCAACTTATTATTTTTTTTAGAGTATGCGATTAAAAGTCAACTTTCCTAGTACTGCAGCTGAACGACGTTATTCCAGTTGGATTGGTGGTTCTATTCTAGGCTCTTTGGTAAGTTGTATTCTGTCTTATGCACATGGAACTTTACTTGTATTTCCCAGCTTAATTAACATTAGTTATGACATTTCTAGTTTACAGGTTTGATCATTAGCTGACATCAGTTATTGAACCATTGTAAACCAGGAAATACTGGACAGCTGTTTCGTCCTAGTTCGAAACTTTTCAGCAGTATCCACCCAGCTGTCGGGGTTTGAACCCAAGGCCTTCCGGTTACAAGCTCGTAGACCATTCAGCCACTAGGACCCGATCAAATGGCTCATGAATTCCAACTTATGCCATTTCGCGAACACAGAGTACTTCGAAAAATCCTCATTATTTTTATCTTTAGAAGAAGAGTACTCCGGTTGAAACCCCTGTCTCAAAAAGCTGATTTTTGAAACTCAGCAGTTACAAGTCCATAAAAAGTGCTAAACGATACTGCGACTGTTATGGAAAATACAAGGGAAAAAAATCAATATTTAAAGCAGTATCGTTAGTAAGTGGTGGCACTTGCATAATGGAGAAAAATATTTTTTCGTGAATTGGCAGAAGTTAAAATTCATCGGCCATTGGATCGGGTTCCAGTGGCTTAATGGTCTACGAGCTAGATCGCCTTGTAACCAGAAGGTCCTGGGTTCGAACCCCGGTGGGTGCGTACTGATGAAGAGTCCAAAATTAGGTTGACGAAACAACTGTCCAGTACTCCCTGGCAGGTTTTCCAATGGTTCTCTAACCAATGTCAGCTCATGATGAAATCCTGTAACAGTAAGTACTCGTTGGCCAGCCTGATCGAAGTGGTCCAGATACTGTTTGATGTGGATAGCATCCAACTACTCATATCGACCAGTCAGTAGTATATAGTGTCAAGAACAGTCACACCATGAAAAAAATGAAATGTCTGTTTCTGTCTCTTAGAGAGTGAAATATTATACTACCTAACAATAACTTATATTCATCCGAATGAAAATCACTGAAGAGGAAAAAATATAAAAAGGACTTGGGTAAGGGGGAGTAAAATGCAGTGTGGTCAGAGTGTAGATTTACTGCATGAATTCTATAAACAAGAATAGTCAAGCAAATTGCGGAAGCACATGTCGGAAATATTAATAATGACTGTTCTATTGTGTTTATAAGTTCAAACGATCCTGCGTAGCTGGTAACAGACACCGTATATATTGTTGTTATTGGATGGTTGGAGGCAATCGGCAGAAAGCCTTGGACCTAGGTTTCGTGCTAGTTGGGACTCGTCAACGAGGCGTATCTGCAACCTCGAAAAAACTAACGACCCTTCTGAAATTCGAACCGGCGTCACCCAGTGCTGCAGTCAGAGACGTTACGTTCGAATCTCAGAAGGGACATGAGTTCCTTCAAGATTACAGGTGCGTCTTGCTGATGAGTGTCAACAAGTACGAAACCTAGATCAGGCAAGGTTTCCTAACCATTACCTCCAACCATTCAATAACAACAATCCTGAGTGTACCGTGATTGCGAGCCATCCTAGAATGGTGGCCACATTGCAAACTTGATTGATAGAATTCAGTCTGTGGTGAAAAAAAGCACTAGACACATGACACTAGTTAGTGTCCAATGAAAGCGGTGTACAAATGGAGAAACCCTACTGACACGTGGTTAGAAAAAAAGTTTATTTTAACAGTGCATTATAATCCTTATCTAATAAAGTATGGACACTGAACTGAGTTGTACAGTACACCTACAGTTATAATATTATCATAATAATAATCACTTTATTCCACAACAATAACAATTTACAGCATGGAATTTTCAGCGTTTCTTTTACATATTGCAATGGTTTAGCTCTGTTTATAATTATATAAATGTATAAAATGTTAAGATATTGATAGTTAATAGGAAAAATAAAAATAAAACCCCAACAAAATCACACCATTGCTAGGTCATAGTGAATAATAAATAAATAATATAACAAATAACACATGCATTAATATGCATCATTACATTTTATAGTTTAGTTAATGATTTAAAAGTTGTAAAAGTTCTTTTCTGATATTTGTCTCTTCACACAATACTCGTGCCAAATATGGTACGGTCGAATTTTTATATTTTGTAGTACGAGCATAAATGTTTATGAAATTTCTTCTGGTCTTACTCGAAGAGATACAAGGAAACAATTGTGAATAAAGAGGATGTTCACTATCAGACAAGATAACTTTAGCTAAGTGTTTACAAGAATTCATATGCCTATTGACAACAGTGTCAGTTAGTTGAGTCAAAGGGATAGCACTGACCCTACTTACAGCCTTCAATGTTCTTCGTAGTATTATATGATCTTTCTTGAGTAGCCCAGGGAAGAATAATGGAGAACAATAAAGAATGATGGGCAAAACACATGAATTAATAAACTGTATGAGAAGAGGTTGGGTTATACCTGAGTGCCTCAACTTCTTTATGTAATAAGTCAGACGGAAAACTTTCGTAGAAACTATAAGAATATGAGACGACCAGCAAAGGTTTGAAGAGAAACTAATGCCAAGATAAGAAACACTTGACTTACTCTCTATCATCGTACCATCAATATTACAACAATCATGAGATTGGATCAATCCATGCATGTCTTTTTCACTTCTCAAGCTGAAATCAACAGTATTACATTTAGTTGGATTTAGTTTAAGACCATTTGAGCCAGACCAATCCTTAACTTCAGCTAAGAAGCCATTCATATGGGAACAATCCGATGTGGAAACCACAGGGACACAGAAACGGTCAGATCATCAGCATACTTAATGAAGTTAACTTTGGGTGAGTCCGGAAGGTCATGCAAAAAGAAAAAGAAAAGAAATGGAGAAAGTACTGCACCTTGAGGCACACCACTTTCAGTTAGCTGAGAAGTGGAGCGCTTTCCAGTCAAAACAGTATGCTGTTTCCTATCCTTAAAATAAGAAGACAGCCATCTAGTTGCCCAGGACTCTGTTTGTGCTGAAATCATCTTTCCTAATAAAAGTGTCCTAGGAACAGAGTCGAAAGCTGCAGTATAGTCTAAAAAAGCTGTTCGAACGAACTTAGCACCCTTATCAAGGCAGGAAACAATATTGTGGTGTAGTACAATGGCTGCATCTAATGTACTTCTTCCACACTTATAAGCAAACTGCTTAGGGTCACTAAAAGCTTTTAAAGAAGGTTTAAGAATATTCAAAAGAAGTTTCTCCATAGTTTTCAAAAAAGGAGATGTTATAGCGACCGGTCTAAACTTTATACCTGCTCCAGAAAATGATTTCTGTACAGGTACAACCTTGATTTCTTTCCAGTCAGCAGGTACCGTTTCCCTTTTAAATGATGCATTAAAGATTTGAGTAAGAGGATGACACAAGATATCTGCACACTTTTGAAGAAGAATGCTTGGTACACCATCTGGACCAAGGCTGTGTGTTGGATTTAAAGATTTCAAACATAATAGTACATCCTTTTCTTTAAAACCCGGAAAATGACCATTATCTTCACTAGGTACATCAGGTACCACCATATTAGTTTGTTTCATGATAAATGATTTGTTTAAAGCATTAACATCAGAATAAGCACCAACAGACATTTGTTTTTTACTTGTAAGTTTATTGAAAAGTTTCCAAATGTTTGAAGGATTTTTACATGATAAAAATTTTTCATTATATAGTCTGTTCAACCTTTCTATTTCAATTTTTATAAGGGTGTTTATTTTACGGACACCAGTATTATCACAATTCTTATGCAACTTCTCTTTTAGTCTTCTAAGTTTTTTTCAGTTGCAAAGAAGAGATTCTGTCAAATCTCGAAAACAGTGTTTCATATGGACGGCAAATATCCAAACAAAACTTCAGATAATCGGTTATATTAGAGACAGTATCATCCAACTTATCGTCAGTAAATAGTTCCCAGTTGGTATCATACAACATGCTTCTTAGTGCTAGAATGTTGTCATGGGAATATGAACGTTCATGTATCTTCTTTGTTAAATGACCAGACGATTTTTGTTGTAACTTGCCGTACATTTTCGGTAAAATACGAATAATGCAGTGGTCAGAGTTTAGCAAAGGAGCTCTCCTTCGGTTTTCGTATACATCACGGTCGTTTATGAAAACCAGGTCTAGTGATTTGTCCAGACGTGTATTAAACTTGACTAGATTCTCATGACCAAGTGAAGTAAGAAAGCTGTGATCACATGAATTAAAATCACCACAGACTATAGACAACGAGTTTCCGAATGCAGGAGCGGCGAATTCAGTAAATTCATCTGCAAACGTAACTATATTTGAAAGGCTACAATTGGGTGTTATGTAAATATTTGTTATGTATATATAAGAATATTTACTTAAGTGTTTTGGGCGACACCTGACGGTTATGCAGTCTATATTGTCATTAGAATAATTGAAGCAAACGTGATTTGATGTAGACCAACTTGTGTTTATAAAAGTGGCTACCCCTCCTCCACATTTTTTCTTAGAACTTTTTCTATCTTGGCGAAAAACTTTATATCCATTTATTGAAACTAGATTATCATCATAATGCTGGTGCAGCCAAGTCTCTTGTATTGCTAAAACGCCAGCATTTCGATAAACATTAGAATACATTAGGGATTGAAGATAATCCATTTTGTTGGACAAGGTTTATGAGCGATTAGAGAGACAAGAAAACATGCAAAATTAAGTCATGAAAAATTAACAAATTTGTTACCATGATAGTAGAAGTGTTTGAGTAATTCTCCCTCGTATGCACAGCTCAGTTTTCTTTATGTGAATGGACACAGCTTCAGCAATACAAATAAGACGTGAGTGTATTGCATTTGGTAGGTTATTCTTGACTGTGTAGATTACTTTGAAGCAGGAGGAGTTTGTTGAGATTGAATGATGAGTGTTGACCAAGTGTTCACTTATCCCACTCCTCATAGCACCACTATTGAATTTTCGAAACCATGCTGGCTGGATCATCTTCAATAGGATGAGCGTCGAACGACCGATGTACATTGCTGACTGCACAACAGCAGCAGGTGAACTGATATATGCACA